CCTAAGGTGTGAGCATGCGGTGCTCCCAGCCGCCGTCCGCCAGGGGAAACGAGCCGATCGGGTGCTTTCTTGCTTTGAGCCCCAGGTCCGCTGGCAGCCTCCCCTTCTCCAAGCCCAGGACTGGGGGCACCGCCTCTGCAGCCCTCTGAGCTGCCGGAGGCCTGGGCACTTAAAAGAGCCGGAAGCAGGCCGGGCTCCCCCTGGGGAGGGCCCCGGGGGCTGGCTGCCCTGCGAGCCGCTGTCTCCCCAGCCTTCTCCGGCTTTGGGGCTGAGAGCAGGAGCCACGAATCTTTGTGCTTCCAGAAGCCCCTCGATATTGGCCCGACCAGGGACAGGGCTGTAGCAGCAAAGGGCACAGAGGAGGTGGTCAGCTCAGGGCACCCGTTTCTGTCCCAGGCTTCCCTGTGGGTGCACATGGGGTCCCAGGCAGCCAAAGGGCGCCTTAAATCACCCCCTAAGGGGCGGTGTCCACTCTCAGCTGGCATGCAGGCCGGCCCCTGTCCTGGGAGACAGACACTGAGGGGTCAAGCGTGCGGGGCTTAAGGAGCATGAGCAGAGCGCCTGCCTGTTCTCAGGGCTGTTTGTTTAAAGGGCCAGTGACTCTGCCAGGGAAACAGGCCAGGGCCTTGTCCTCAGGGAACTTACACTTATTTTCTTTTAATTTTTATTATTATTTCAAAATATATACTTTTTGTTGATTTTAGAGAGGGAGAGAGAGAGAGAAGCATCAATGATGAGAGGGAATCGTGGATCGGCTGCCTCCTGCACTCCCCCTACTGGGGATCGAGCCCGAAACCCCGGCAAGTGCCCTAACTGGGAATTGAACCCTGACCTCCTGGTTCCTAGGTGACACTCAGCAGCTCCCAGCCAGCAGGGACAGTCCCCCGGGGAGGCCAAGGAGGAGCGAGGAGCTGGCAAGGGAAGCAGGGAGGGTCGGGGGGCTGCTTCTCAGCCGAGACATACCCCTGCCTGGGCCTGGGGCTGCCTTCCCAGGACCTAGCAGCCAAGAGCCGAGCCTGAACCCATCGGTGGGCGGAGGCTGCGCCGGCCGGAAGCATGGACTTGCCAAGAGGTGCTGCTGTGCCCCTTCAGACCGGCTGCTGGTGGACACCGATGCGGGGTTTCCTGCCGGGTCAGGACAGCCTGGGGGTGTCAGGCCCTGTTCAAAGCGCTGTACTGCCTCTCCTCCCAACAACCTCGGGAGTTAGATACTTGCGACTCCCAAGTTTGCAGGTGGGGAAACTGAGGCACAGAGTGTTAAGTGCCTTGCCCGGGCTCAGACGCCGCTGGGGGGATGGATGCAGCCAATCCAGTGTTATATGGAACCACGTTTGGTCCCCTTGCTGCTGCCTGCTCCCCTGTCCCGAGCTCAGAGCCTCTGAAAGCTGCGTGACTTCAAGTCACACTTTCCGGGCCATTGACAAACCTGAAGGCTTGGCCACTGACCGGAGGGAGGGCCGAGGGCTGTGCTCTGGCGACAGGGAGGGGCTGAGGGAGTTTGCTCCCGGAAGATGGGGGAGGTGGCAGCCTCCCATGGGCTTCTCCCTGGGGTGCTCTGTGCCAGCACTCGAACCCCAACCCTGATCGGAAGCCTCAGGGGGCTGGCGGCATTGTTTCAGACTGAGGGCGACCAGGGAGTGGGGCTGTGTGGGGGCAGAGTGGGAGCCCGGGCTGCGAACTTGGGGTGCTGGTGCGGGATGTCTGCAGCAAGTGGGGGTTGTGGGTCCTTGACCTTGGGAGTCTTTCCAGGCCAGAGCCTCTGTGAATCAGCCATTCAGGGTCAGTAGAAGCAGGCTCACCTGGGCAGCGTCCCCGGGAGGGCCCCAGCCCCTGCGTGCACTCCCAGCAGGGCAGGATGGCTCAGTGAACCTTCTGTAACAGACGGCAGTGAGCGGCGGGCCCTGGCCTGGCCCCCAGCCGCTCTCCCTCTGACGGGTGTGTGTCTAAGATCTTGGGACCTGAGTCAGGCTCCTGAGCTGGGGCCTCCTGTGGGGGGACTTCCCTGCTGCTGGGGACCCCCTGGGTGCTTGCCTGTCTCCCCTTCATGAGTGGGCGTCCGCTCCCCAGGCCTGGCCAAGGACCCGGTGTGGGCATCGCGATGATGCCATCTCCGGGGCCACCAGGGCACTCTTCCCAGGAAGACGAGCTACTCCGACCCCTGCTGACCCAGAAGAGGGCGTCCGTGCAGGAGACGGGTCTTGCATCCCTCGCCCCGGGCCCTGGGGGGACTTGGCACGCCATCTCCCCACCCCTCCTGTGTAGCGCAGCCACCAGGCACCTGGGGAGCGTGCGTGCTGACGGGCTTTCTGGGCTGGTAGGCTGGGCGGGGGCCTGGGATCCTGCATTTTTGGCAGGATTTCGGGGGACGGAGTGCCACTGGGCAGAGGGCCTCGCTGTCATTTTACAAACACCAGAGCTGAGGCCCGGAGGCTTCCGCGATCCGCCGGGGGTTAGACATTGGACTCGGCCTGTCCGTGCCCAGGCCGCCCTCTCCTGGGACAAGGTCCCCCCCCCCCCCCCCCCCGTCAGCTGCCACTTCCTGCTCAGGCTCAGGCTCCAGCATCAGTGACATCCTGTCTCCATCCCGTTTCATGTCAGGATGAGTGACGTCCTGCGCCACCGGGGCCCTTGCTGCACAGCCTGTGTTTTTGTTGTTGTTGTTTTTTGCTATCTCCTCGCCAAAGGGGTTTCTGAAGGCTCTGTTTTATTTGTTCTGAGTTATGGACACCCCCCTTTCTCTGCTGGGAATGCTAAAAATCACTTTTCATTTTCAAAAAGAAGTGTGCTGGGCACCCGGGCTGGAGACCCGATGCTGGGCGAGGCCCACCTCCCGAGGGGCCGAGCTAGAGGTCTGGCTGTGCCTCAGTTTCCCTGGCTCTCGGGTATCTCAGAGCCGACCCCAGAGCGGGCCTTGCAATGGCAAGGAGATGCCCAGCAGACTGAGGGGATCGGGATTGGCCCAGGGCCAGTAGGCACTGGTTTGAGAGTCTGAGGCGGTCTCCACTCTCTGTCCCCTCCTGCTGGTGGGAGGGCAAAATGCCAGTGTGGGGACCAGGCCATCCTGGCAACTGGGGGAGAAGTCTCATGGGGCCAAGGGCAGGCAGAATGCGAGGGGGAGCCGGGGAACTGCCTTTTATAGACATGTTCTCTCCCTTTCCTTTCCCCCCAAGTTCACTCCCGGCGGCAGTGCCACTCGCAGGCGCCAGGCCCGGCGGTGGCTGGCCTGGGCGGGCGGCACCGCGCGCCCCCTCCCCCAGCCCGCCTGCAAGTTGCATGACCTGCATCGGAATCCGCAGGGGGCGGGGAGGACCTTTCAGAGGCTGAAAGCGGCTGAATTCCGGGTCTTCTTTCCTCGCCTGCCCTCGCCCCAGCCGCTTTCTCCTCCCGGGAATGAATGCTGTATGTGTCTGCCTGCCGGGGCCCCCTAACCCTTTCTTCCCCTGCGCCCGCCAACGCGCCGCTTCCCTCCCGGGCACACGGCTCTCACACTTGGCATTTTGGCGTTTTATTAAAAAAATAAAAATAAAATAAAATGAAGTCCCTACCGAGAAAGTAGGGACTCCTCCTTCCTCTCCTCTGGGGACCCTGAGCTCCCGCCAAAGGTCGGCTGCACCTGCTCTGCGCCCCTACCAGGAAGGGGTGGCTGGGGGGGGGGGGAGGGAAGGAAGGAGGTGCCGCACCCCCATCCCGAATCCATCCGGAGACAGCAGCCCGCCCGCCCCTCACCCAGCAGCCAGAGCAGCGCCCCAGGGGAGAGCCCAGCCCAGAAGCCTGCGCTGACAGGGCTGGCCTGGCGCTTGGCAAAATATGCCCCTTGCATCTCAATTCCCCCTGCCTCTCCACGCAGGGCCACCTGCGCTCCTCCCCTGCCTGCCCAAGGCCCCACGGGGGCACAGCCTGCCGCCCAGGAGGCGCAGGGGGCACGGAGGCACCCACGGGGCGTGCCCCGCAGCCCCCTCCCCGCCGGGCCCCGCGCCGGGCTCCCCATCACGGAGGCGAGAGTCATTTTAGCCGCAGGACCACGCGTCCGCGGCCCTCCTCGGGGCTCCGGGCATCCTGTGCGCTCCCTTCAGCGAGCCGGTGCCCCCCGCCCGGGCTCGGGGGCGCTCCCCGGTCACCTCGGCCGCGCTCGCGCCCCTTCCTCCCCGCGGCGGGGATTGCAGCAAAACCGGGCAGCGCGAGGGCCAGAAAGTGGGCAGGAGAGCGCCTTTCCGCATCGCGCCGCCGGCCGGCCAGCTCCTCCTCCCCCGTCCAGACCCCCGCGATCCCGACCGCAACTTTTCCCCTTCGCCCGGGTCCCCGGGGCTGCGCCCAGCGGGCGGGCGCCGGGCCGCGGGGCGTGGAGCGGGCGCGCGGCTGCGGGTGGCGGTGCGGACGCGAGCCGGCGAGTGGGTGGGTGGGTGGGTGGGTGGGGAGGGAGGAGGGGAGAGGACGGGCGGGGAGAGGGAGGGAGGGAGGGAGGGAGGAGGGGAAGATTCCGCTCTCCTGCCGCTCCCAGCCCGGGCGGGGGGCGGGGGAGGAGGCTGCGCGTGGGGAGGGGAGGAGGGAGGGGAGCGGGAGGGAGGGAGGGAGAGAGGGCGCCGAGGAAGACGCTCTGAGCACCCGTGCGTTTCGCAGGCTCGGAGCACATTTCTGCAGGCGCGGCGAGCCCTCCGCGGCGGCTGCGGCAGCTCCGCGCACCCTCCTCCTTCCTTTCCTTCCCTTCCCTTCCCTTCCCCGGGCTCCGGGCGCCGCGCGTGTGCGTGTGCGTGTGCGAGTGTGTGTGTATCTTGCAGGTGTGTCCGTTTTAATTCTGCCCAGTAGGTGGGACTTGGTGACTTTAGCACCATTCTCCTCTCCTCCCCCCCACCCCCCACCCCGTTCCTTTTTTTTTTTTTTTTTTTTTTTTGCCTCCCCATCGTCTGTTGCAACCCTGCAAAGTCTCGGAGTGGGCGAGCGCGGCTCGCTTTCCCCGAGCCCCCCGGCCCCGGAGAGCCGCGAGCGCCCAGCCGGCCACCATGCCGGGCGGACCGAGCCGCTAGGCGCTCCCCGCGGCTCCCACCCGGCGGCGGCGGCGGAGGCAGCGGCGGAGGCAGCGGCAGAGGCAGCAGCAGTGGCGGCGCGATGGTTTCCGACGCTGAAGGATTTTGCATCTGATCGCTCGGCGTTTCAAAGGCAGAGGCCCCCTCCCCCTCCCCCCTCCCTCGCTGTCTTTGTTTCCTACCCCCCCCCCACCCCCCACCCAGCTCTCCCCGCTGCCCCCACCCCAACCCCCTCTCCTCTCCTCCTCGTCTCTTTTAGAAGCAGCGATCGGAGATGGATGTCTCTCTCTGCCCGGCCAAGTGTAGTTTCTGGCGGATTTTCTTGCTGGGCAGCGTCTGGCTGGACTATGTGGGCTCCGTGCTGGCGTGCCCTGCGAATTGTGTCTGCAGCAAGACGGAGATCAATTGCCGGCGGCCGGACGATGGGAACCTCTTCCCGCTCCTGGAAGGGCAGGACTCGGGCAACAGCACCGGGAACGCCAGCATCAACATCACGGACATCTCAAGGAACATCACTTCCATGTAAGTCAGGCGCCGCTCCCTCCCCGGCCGCCTCCCCTGCCCGCCCGCCAGCCCTCCCGCGGCTCCCCCTCGCTGGCTCTCCCGCTCCTCAGCCCGGAGCTGGGGCCGCCCTCCGCGCCCCAGGCTCGCTCTGGCTCGGAGATGCTCCGGCTGCGTACGCAGGTGGCTGGCCCTGTCCAGGCTGGTCCTCCGTGCGTGTGCGCCTCTCGGGGAGCAGACCCCCGCCGGCGAGGGTGGGGGGGCCCGCCCGTCCCCGCTCCCACCCGCTGCAGCTGGTTTCCAGGGTGCCAATCGGGTTCTCTCCCCCCGCGAAATAGCAACAGTTTGGCCACGCTCAAGTGGGATAAAGTAGAGGAGGTTGGAGCCCCTGGCAGCGGTGCTGGCTGCCTGCGGTGGCAGCAGGCACAGAGTCGCTGAGCCCAAAGGGAAGGTGACAGGGACTGCCGGCCATCCCATCCGGCCAAGATGTTTCGCCGTTTCCTTTTGGAAAGAGCACACAGCACGCCCGCCGACAAGTAAACAAGTTGAGAGCTGGCTGCTGTGTGTGTGTATGTGGGGTGTGTGTGTGTGGGGGGAGACTTTGGACAAGGCCAGGCCGGCATGGACACCCACCCCTTGCCTGCCTTCTGCCTGCCCTCCCCAACCCCATTTTGGGCATTTCCGAGACCCCTCCCCTCTCTCCTCTTCCCTGCATCTGGGCGCCCACAGATCGCCCCTGTTCGGCGCAGAACAGCTGGGGATTGACAGTGAGGATGGCGAAGGGAAGCGAGGGCTTGCCTGTTTTGCAGCCGGGGCTTCTGATATGATCGCGCAGATCTGTTTATTTGGAAAACTGAACTCTGACCCGTGCTTGTGCGGTTCCTTCCCCATAAGTGAGCCCTGTGGTGGCCTGTTCTCAGCTGGTGATGTTTCCTGGGCAGGGAAGCGGCCGGAAGCCTGGGCAGGGGGCAGGAACTCGGGGTTCAGGGAGCCTGTCCATCTTCTCTTCCCCTGACCTCAGCCAGGTGACCCCCTCCCTTCCTGCCACCAGAGAAGGGCGGGGATGGCCTGCCGCTCTGGCCTGTCTCCTCCCAAGGTCCCACCCCTTGGGGGCTGGTGAAGTGGGTGGGATGCTGGGAAGGGTTCTCACTGGAGTCTGAGAAGGCATTTGGGGGACTGGGTGCCAGTGGGGGACTGAGTGCCGGTGAGGGTGTGTGAATCTGCCATTGGCTAGGCTCTCTCTGGCGCCAGCCCTCCCTGTGCCAGAGCCCCAGCGAGCTGGGGCTGCGAAGCCAGGAGGAACTCAGTCCTCTCTCTCCCAGCCCACGGCCCTCGGCTGATGGTGTCTCTGCTGGCGTTCTGGCAGCCAGCAATTCCAGGGGAGCGCTCAGCCCGGGAGAGTTCCCACTCTTGGCCCAGGAGGCAAGCCTGACCCATATCCTGGCGGAGCCATTCAGCCCCTCGCCACCTCCAGTGCCCGGCTGGCTGGCTGGCGAGGACCTGAGGAGCAGCAGGGTGGGGGAGGGCAGGAAAACAGACCGGACAGACCATGCCTCTGCCACCCTGCAGGCCTGGCTTTCGGGCATGCCAGGGCGCAGGAGGGTCTGAGCCAGATTGTTGGAAACTCCGAGTCCCCGTGCACGCTCAGGATTGTATGTGTGTGGAGGTGGGGAGCCCAGGAATGGGTCCCAGGGCTCGGCAGAACCTAGGGATTTCTGGGGGCTGTGGGGGCCAGGGGGTCCCAGGTGCCCCGGGGAGCGGGTCTCCGGGAGCCGGGAGCTCATCCGGCTTGTTCTCTGCTCTGTGCTGTGTGTATCTGTGGGAAGTTGGTGGGTGGCAGGGCCGGCCTCCGCCGTGAAGGCTCCGTACAGCCACACAGAGCTGTGGCTCCTCTGAAAAGCAGACTTGGGCAGGGGTGGGGGTGTGGGGGGGAGGCTGTTTGGTAGCAAGAGTCCATGTGGTGTTTCCAGGCAGAGGGTCCAAGATGGGGATGCCGGGAAGGCTGGCGATGGGCAGCCTCTCTCCCCTTTGGCACAGGAGGACCCCCAGAAGGCATCTGGGGCGACCGGGAGCCCCTCTGTGTGTGTCCCCATCCTTGTTTCAGGGCTAGGCCTCCGGCCAGGGAACTGGATTCTCACAGGCGCTCGGAAGAGTGGCGGGTGTGGGGGGTCAGAGGTCGTGGGCCGGAGGCCCTTCCTCGCCTCTCTTCTCCCCAGCGCCCTGTTATGTCTATGGCTGGTATTGACTGAGGTCGGGGCAGGGCCCTGCCTCAGGCCCAGAGGCGGGACGGAGAGGGAGGGGAGCATGCAGACCCTGGGGAGCAGCTGTCACCATCCCTGCTCCCCCCCGGGAGTGGGGCTCAGGGCGGCCAGGTAACTTTCCCAGGCACACAGTCCTGGGGGGCCAGGCCCTGAAGCCGGCACCCCACTCTGGAGCTGCCCTGGAAGCAGCCGGAGGAGGGATTGGGGCAGAGAGAGCCTCTGGCAGGGAAGGGGCCTCGCCGGAGAGGAGCCTGGTGCTGCCAGAGATGAAGAGCCAGGGGTCTCCCAGCCGTGTCACCAGGGGTGCCCTCCAGACTTCACCCTCCTGGTCTGGGGGCTATGGCCCTCCTCTCGGTGGTGCGTGCTGTGGCTCCTGTGTACCCACTGGAGGCTCCTCGGATGGGGAGCCCCCCCCCCTCCCCCATGAGTATCAGAAGGAAATCAGCTGCCAGGCATCGGGGCAGAGTGTGGGTCGCACCTCCGCCCCTCCCAGCGCCCAGCGGCTCCAGCGCCCCCCCTTCTGGCCTCTCTGAGGAGGCCGGTCCCCGTGCCAGGGCAGCGCTGACACGCGGTGACCTTACCTAGAAGGGCCCACGCGCAGCCGCGCCCAGCCGGGCCCTGACGTCACAAAGGCAGGCAGGAGGGTGGTGGCCGGGAGGTGGCTGTCTGGGCCTCTCTCGGGCCAGGCCGGCTCGGGGATGGGTGGGGATGGCGCAGCCGTAGACCGCTGGGAGGGAGATCAGGGGGAAGATGGCACCGCGGGGCTGGGTGTCCTGGGGTTGGCTTCCGGGCGTGGGCTCGTGGCTGGGGTTAGCGGTCACCCGCTAGGTCTCCCGGGCAGCCCCTGCAGCGGCCCCGGTGTTGGCCGCCCACCCCCCGGCCCGCCCCGGGTTGGGTGGAGGGTCTTTCGGAGCCCTGGCTCCTTGCCCCTCAGCCTCTCCAGGGATCTAAGGCACAGCCAGCCTTGGCGGTTACCACCGAGAGCTGGGGCGCAGATGGGGGGGGTGGGCCAGGCCCCAGAGGCGTTGTGGGGCCTTACTCAGGAGCCCCAGGATTGGGGGCAGCCCTGAGGGGGGAGGCTGAGTGGGAGGGGCCTTTGAGGAGAGCTTTGGAAGCGGGAGGGGGCACTCCAGGGAAAGAGGGGCTCCAGGGTGGAAGTTGGGGAGCCTGGGCTCCGAGTCTTGGGATGCTGCCTGGAGGCCGATTGGGGTAGGCCCCAGGAGGGGTCTCCTTGGAGCAGAGTCTTTGCTCCTGAAAGCCAAGGTCAGTCTCCCGAGGGCCCAGGGCTCAGCCCTGCAGCAGGAGGGGCCCGAGCACGTGACAGCCTGATCCCCGAGTCTGGAGGTGCTCAGGGCCCTGCAAGGCGCCTGCTGCCCTCCGCATGGCCTGGGTGGCTGTGAAGGAGGGAGGGGCCTGATGCTGCCCCCTGGCACACTCCCCCCTGCCCTCCTGCCCCTGTCGCTGATGTCTCTGTCTGTCTGACGGCGGGGATGGGCGGCCCCACCGGCTGGCTCGTGGGGGGTGTGGTCCTCCGGGCGATGGCCCTCGCCAGCCTGTGGCATCTCTGGCTGCCTGGCCCCCCTTCCAGTGCCCGTCGAATGGCTTGTTCCGGGACTCCCGGGCTCCCTGGCTCCCCGGCTCCCCGGCTCCCCATTCAGCGGGGCTCAGGGCTGGGGGTCTCCTCAGAGCCCCAGCCAGTTGCTGGGCCTGAAAAGAAAACGCCAGAACTTCTCCTTCACATCCTCCCTGCCTAGACGGAGGGATGTTCAATACGTAGCGCGTGGACTGAGATACACACGCACGTGATTTAACGCACACGGGCGCTCTGGGGTTGCGAGATAAATGTTTCATTGCTGAGGAATACGTCATCAAGAGCTCACTGCCGCTGTGTGCAGGGAAGGTCTGAGCCCGAGAGGCCGATGGGTGGCCATGGCAGAGGCCAGCGGAGGCCCTGGCTCCCCGGCTCGGTTCCAGGAGGGGCTCATCGGTGGGGAGGGGGAGCAGGTGACGTGAGGGGCTCAGGCTGGGTGGCAGACCCCATCAGGGTCCCCAAGGCCCCCTAGCCCCCGAGGGCCAGGCCAGTTCTCGCAGCCGGTCTGTCCGTCTGCTCAGCACCCTGCCTTGGCCCCTGCGGAGCAGACGCGTCATCCCCGTGCCCGCCCAGCGCTCCTCCCCACCGTGCTTCCCGCTTACGGTCCTCGGGCTGGCTTTCGGGACAGCAGCTGGAGGCACGCAGGCAGGCTTACCGGTCCCACTTACTGGTCACCAGGATTTGAGTCCCCGTGGTCGAGTTGTGTGGCCACAGACGGAAAGATCTAGAAGGGTTTCGGGGCTCCTCCTCTCTTAGGGCTTCTCTGGTTCTGTCCACCCCACCCTCTCTCTGGCCAGGACTCCCCGCTGCTCGTGAGGGAGGGAGGTGCCGTCACCCACAGAGTCCTGTCCTCCCCAGAGGGCAGCATCCTGGGAAGAGCCCACCGCGAGGGCTTGTGGGACGGCTCAGCGCCTGGCAGCGGGTCTCGGCGCGGCCGGGGTGGAGATGGTGGCCAGCGAGCCATCGGTGCGGTCATGGGTCACCCCCTGAGCCTTCCCCACCTCCACCCGGGCCCCCCAGTGGGTGGCCCCTCTTCCGTGGACTGGTCAGCAGGGGAGAGGGCTCTGGGGGGCCAGAGGGGAAGGTCAGCGCCCAGTGGAGCCCCCAGAAGCCCCACATGCCAACCCCAAACTCGGGGCTCTCCAGGATGCAGGGCTGGAGGGATTCTG